TTTGCACCCCATCGTTCAGACTGGCGCTCTCGCACCAGTGCGGGCCTCCTTCCTGAATCCGAGTCTCCTTTCATCGCTGTTGCTCCTCTCGTTTCCTCTCCTCCGCCTTCCCATGTCTCGCTCCTCTCCTCCTCCTCCTCCTCCTCCTCCTCCTCCTCCTCCTCCTCCTCCTCCTCCTCCTCCTCCTCCTCCTCCCCTTCCTCCTCCTCCTCCTCCTCCTCTCGTTCTCCTGCTGAGCGCCTGCAAGCCTGAAGGCAAGAAAAGGTTCCCCCCAGGGCCCGTCGCCCCCGGGGCCGGTCGTCCCTGCTGGGGGCCCTGAGCAAACCAGTGTTAAGTCGGGCCTGCCCCTCTACAGTGGGAATATGCAAAAATAGTCAAAACATAGCCTGGAGCGTATTTTTTGCATATTTTTTGACCATTCTGGCATATTTGTTTGACTAAGTTTTTAATTTTTCGTCGAAAATCCCCCTGTAGGGGGACACGCCCGACTGCACACTAGTGGGCCAGGGCCAGTGGGCCCTGGGGTCGGCCCCAGGGGCGGCGGCCCCTGGGGCTGCGGGCGGGCGGGGTGGTTGCAACTTGGCATCGCTCGGACGTGTGTATTTTTTTCTCGGCGAGGACCCTCGAGAAACATCCTGGATCACCGAGCGAAAAAAACACGCACGAAACCCAAAAATGCACGGGAAATGGACGTCCGAGCGACGGCAAGGTAAAAAGGGTGGAAGGCAAGCGACAGCAGTCAGAAAAGACGAGCGAACGGAAGAGAGAGGAGGGGGATATCGAAGACGACAAAACGCCAGGGGGGGCCCAGCGCGGGTCCGAGAAATCAGTACGGGGCGTCCAAAATTTATCCCTTTATGGCGTCTTTGCTTCTTCGATCTTCCCCTCCTCCTCCTCCTCCTCCTCCTTCCCCTGCTGCTCGTCGTCGTCGTCCTCCTCCTCCTCCGAGAGAGGAGGGGACGAGGAAGGAGAGGATCATGATGGTGGAAGTGGTGTTGGCGGTGCGGGCAGTGGCCAGGGACCCCACCCGCCAGAGTGGAAAGGCCCATCTTCTCTTCATGCTCATCGGAAGAGCCCCAAGCCATTTCGGGTATGGCCAGGACCCTGGGTAAGGGGACCCAGTTAGTGGTATGGCCCCGAAGCCTTTGCGTTGGCCAGATTCACTAGACCAGGCTTGCCATAGCTGGTGTTTTTTTCGGGTGGCGGCCGTTCCGGTCAGTGGAAATGGGACGAGGGGGCGCCCCCGGTACAGATCATTCAGCCAGGTTCCACTAAACCAAGCTCTACCAACCCCCGAGCCATGGTCCACAGTCCCGCCAAGGGAGTGCTCGCCCGCCGAGGCAGGCGTAGGGTTCCCGAGGTAGAGGGTCAGGTCGGGCACGTCCCTCTGGGCTGTAAAACAGTAAGAGAGGTAGTCTGGGAACTATTTTGGATCTTTGTTGGGGACAGTTTTTTAATTTTCCTCCTAAACAAGGGAAAGGCAAATTCAAACATAGTCCCCCCAAAAATCCAAAATAGTTCCCAGACTACCTCTCTAGAGGCTGCTCGGAGCATGGCGCGAGGTGGAGAAAAAAACAAAAATTGAATTTTCCTCCAAAATCCGCCTGTGGGGGGACATGCCCGACCTAAAGGTGTAGGGACCGGGGGCCGCCGTGGGGTTTCCTCCGGGCGCGGGGGGGGCCTGTGCCTTCCGAGGCGGCGGTCGTGCAGCCAGGCGACCGCGGTGCCAGCAGCCACCCTGGCCGTCGCCAGGGCAGCCAGGGGCCCGCCGCCCTTCCCTCCAAGTGCTTGGCATCGCTCGGACGTGTGCAATTTTCCTTCGGCGAGGACCATCGAGGAGCATCCTTGATCACTTCGCGAAAAAACCACGCACGAAACCGAACAAAACACAGGAAATGAACGTCCGAGCGATGGCCAGAGTGCCCTCCACGGCTTGCGGCGGTGTGGCGGTGGCGTGGTGGTGGTGGCGGCGCAGAGGCCGGCGCGGCAAGCTGCACCCGCCAAGATTGTATGGGGCCTTGGGGCACACAGATAAATACACACAAATCACAGGATCCCCCATCTTTTCCAATATTTTCTGGGTTTTTGTCTTCCCCCCCGCTTCCCATGTTTTCCAATATTTTCTGGGGAATCGACGATTCATTGTGTCTGTGTGTGTTTTCCCCCCCCCGGAAAGATGGAAAGGCACACTCCCCCCACTCACAGGAAGCCCTAAGCGACGGCCCAGTCCCGCCAAGGGAACGCTCGCCCGCCGGGGCAGGCAAGGTTTCCCGAGTTTGGGCGTTCCCAGACATGGCCTTGCCTTCGGGGGTCGAAGGAGTTGTCATCTCTTCCTCGGCGGAAGGCGGCGGAATGGCGGCGGAAGGTCGGCGGAAGTAAAACGAGGCCGCCTCCGCCGGCGGAAGGCCGGCGGAAGGCGGCGGAAGTAAAAGATGCGCCCCCAAGGGATGGACGCGTTTTTGGGCTCAGGGTTTCCGGAATCCGCCAGGAATCCGCCAGGCAGGGACCGGGGGCCGCCGTGGGGTTTCCACTGGGTGCGGGGGGGGGCTGGTGTCTTCCGTGGCGGCGGCCAGCCGAGCGGCTGCCTGTGCCCGCGGTCGCCCTGGGCAAAGCCAGGGCAGCCGTTGGCGCGTACAGCCTCCCCCACCTACCTTCGGGGAAACGTTCGTGGGCCCCCAAACGTGGTGGTGACCACACCGTGTGGTGAGTCGGTGGGGATTCGGGGTCGCCGCACGGTTTTGGGACTTGGGTCGTTGTCCGAGGACGTCTCGGGCGACTGGGGCATCCGAGGTCTCGAAACCGTGCGTTGACGGACCGTGCGGTGAGGTCTTGGGGGATTTCGAGGTCACCGCACGGTCTGTCACCGCACCGTTTCGGGACTCCAAAAACTTGATGGGATCGGCTCGGTTTGGTTCGGTCCGTTTCTGCAGCCGGGTCGGTTTTGCTTGGCCGGTTCGGTTTGGCATCGGTCCGGTTTCGGCCGGTTCGGCTTGGGCTTGCCGCCAGTTCGGTTCGGTTCCGGTTTTCGCGCGGTTGGGTCCGACCGGTTCGTTTCGGTTCGAGTGGCCGCTCCGGTTCGGTTCGGCCCGACTGGTCAGGTGCGACGTTGGGCGCCCCGTCTGCGTAAGCGACGACCCAGTTTGAAAAAAAGGGAGGGAGGAGGAGGAGGAGGAGGAGGAGGAGGAGGAGGAGGAGGAGGAGGAGGAGGAGAGGAGAGACGAGGAGGAGGAGGAGAAGGAGGCGGAGGAGGGAGGAGGAGGACGACGAGGAGGAGAAGGAGGAGGAGGAGGAACGTGGAGGCGTGGAGGCGCGAGGCCCTCCAGCGACGTGCCCCGAGGGGGGTCGCAGCCCCGAGGGGGGTCGCAGCCCCGAGGGGGGTCGCAGCCCCTAGGGGGGTCGCAGCCCCGAGGGGGGTCGCACCCGCGAGGGGGGTCGCAGCCCCGAGGGGGGTCGCACCCGCGAGGGGGGTCGCAGCCCCGAGGGGGGTCGCACCCGCGAGGGGGGTCGCACCCCCAAGGGGGGTCGCACCCGCGAGGGGGATCGCACCCGCGAGGGGGGTCGCAGCCCCGAGGGGGGTCCTGGGTCCTGGGGTCCCGGGGGTCCTAGGGTCCTTGGGTCCTTGGGTCCTGGGGTCCTGGGGTCCTGGGGTCCCGGGGGTCCTGGGGTCCTGGGGGTCATCGGGGTCGTGGGAATCTTCGGGAGGTTCTGGGGTCATCGGGGTCCAGGAGTCCTGGGGGTCATCGGGGTCCTGGGGTCCGGACCGGAGGGGAAAGGGGTTCGGTTCGGTTCCCGTCGGTTCGGTTCAGGGGCCGCCCGGTTCCGGTTCGGTTCCGGTTTTGGTTCGGTTCGGTTCTCGCCGGTTCGGTTCTGAATGAATTCGGTGCGGTCTGGTTCGGTTTTCTACGTTCCTGGTTTTGGACCGGTTCGGTCCGGTTCGGTCACGGTTCTCGGTTCTCGATTCGGTGCGGTCCCTTCATGAAAAACGTAAGACTCGAGTACGTCAGAACTCGGCTTCGCCGACGATTTTTGATGAGCGCGTCCTTGGCGGTCCAGTTATTGCCCCGTCAGGCCAAACCGGGTCTCCCTAACCTGAGTCGTACGCCTCCCCGACACATGTGATCCCCTGGGATGCTGGTGGCTATTGCAGGTTGAGTTGGAGAGTGAAACATAGAAAGAGGTGGAGAAAGATGCTGGCTTTTGAAGCGGGTGAGGGCGCGCAAGTCGCCCGCATGTTGAGATGATCAGTTTTCGGAGCAAATTCAAATGCAACCCTGCTAACATTTCGAAGTTCGGACAAGTTCGGCGGCGAAGAGGTTCCGACCCCCTGGAGCGTTTTGTTTTTTTCTGCACTCCCGAATGGGTTTCGAACTTTCCAAACTGTGTCACTTTTCAAACGTTTCCAATCTGTTGAAATGGTTGCGGACTTCCCGAATTTGTATCCCACTTGTCCCAGCGTCTGTCTGGACATTTTTGATATTTCTCTTCGAGCTCCCCCGCGTGCTTGAACCTCTGTCGAGCTACTGCTCTCTTTGGCTTTTGAGCTCGCGCTCCTAAATTTCCCTCCGCCCGAAACCAAGCCCTGCCTTTCTTTGATCTCCAAGGGTGACCGGTTGTGCCCCGCCTCGGCCAGTTACAGCCGCTGGCTGGCCCTCGGCGTTGCGGACTGCCCCACTGCTTTCTCCAAGGTTGCCGTCGGGGCCTGTACCTCTGCTCGAGTTGCTGCTCAGCTGCACCGGAAAAGGTGGTCCCGCCCGCTCCTTCCACTCCAGCTCCTGCTGCTGCTGTTCGTCCTCGTCCTCTTACCTTTTCCTCCTCCCCCTCCTTTTCCTCCCGCTCATCCTCCTTTCATCCGCCAGTTCCTCCTCCAATGTGCGCAGCTCTTTTTTCAGATCGCGTATTGCGCGATTGGGGTCCTCTTTGGAGTTCCAGGTCCGCTATGACACGCGTCGGCGGATATAGACTTATAGAAACAACAGCGCAGTGGGAAGGGATGTGTGGGAGGGATCGAATGTCAGATGTGGCTCGAGCGCACCCAGCTTGTCTCATCCCCCCCTCTCTCCTCCCCTCCCGTCCCTTCCGCTTCACTGCTGCTGCTGCGCTTTCTTCTTCCATTACTCCTGCAGGAGGACAGCGAGGAGGCCGAGGATGAGGAGGAAGCCTTGATGCGACGATCTTCGTCGATCAGAGTCTTGCCAACTGGAGAAGGAGGAGGCCCAGGATGCCGCAGCGGCCGACGACAGGGGCGGCATCGACGCGATGGCGACGCTCAGGAGGGACAAAAACACACAGACTCAATTAATTGCCGATTCCCAGGAAAATATACGAAAATACAGGAAGTGGGGGGAAGACGAAACTCCAACAAGTATGGGAAAACATTGGAAATCCTGTTATCTGTGTCTTTTCATTTGTGTGTCCCAGGGCCCCTTCAACAGCCTCCTCACCTCGGCCGAGGTGCTGATGTGGGGGGTGGTCCTGCCACTGCTCACCGTGTGCACCGCGCGGGGCATCTTCGTTGGGCAGCTCAGGCCATCACCGGGGCACGCTCGTCGAGTGGGGGGGGCGGGACGGTCAGGGGCAACGAAGGGCACATGGGGCAACGATGGGTCAGCGGCAACGATGGGCTCGGACGTTTTCGTCGGCTCCCCTCTGTTCTCCAGCCTCGCGATGCGTTCCAGCGGCTGCGCATCGCCGAGAGCGTTCGGGGGGTGCCCAGGTCGTCCCGAACAGCCGCCGGAGTGCCCAGGCATGGCCAGGAAACCACGGGGTGACGTTTGGGGGGACAGGCTCAGGGGGGATGCATCGACCCAGACTCGCCCATTGGCCGCTCACAGGGGCCCGATAGCCCGCCCCGCCCAGGAACGTGCGGGTTGTCGATCGAGGGATTATCTCCGATCCATTGGGGAAGTATCGTCAATTCGAGGTCGATGTTCCCCCCCCTGAGCTGGTCCCACGGCTTCACCCTATCGCTTCTCCTGGGGGGGAGACGGGAAGGGGGAGGACGAGGAAACGGAAGGGGAGGAAGGGGAGGATGCGCGTAGCAAGGAAGAGGTGAGGGGGAAGACGAGGAACGAATGGGAAAGGAGGGGAGGATGCGAACAGCGGGGAAGAGGGGAAAGCGGGAGGAGGAACAAACAGAGAAGGGAGGGGAGGGAGGAGGAGGGGAGGGGAGGGATAGCGAGAGATGGGAGGAGGGATAGAAGGGTGGAGGTGGACAGGCTCACTTCCGCCGCGTCGCCGCCCGTTGCCGCCGCGTTGCCGCCTACTCGAGGGGGTCTGTCGAGGTCCCGCCGCGCCGCCGCCCGTTGCTGCCGCGTTGCCGCCTCGTTGCAGCCCACTGGGGGGTGGTCCGTCGAAGCTTCGCCGCGCCGCCGCCCGTCGCCGCCGCATTGCCGCCTCGCTGCAGCCCACTGTAGGGGCCCGAAGTTTCGCCGCGTCGCCGCCGCGCGGCCGCCTCGTTGCCGCCCACTTGGGGGTGCTCGTCGAGGTTTCGCGCGTCGCCGCCCGTGGCCGCCTCGTTGCCACCCGCCGCGCTTGGAGGGCTCTTTCCCAGCCCGGAATCCGATTCTTGAGTCGTCATGTGTGCTGCATCCATCGGCAGGCACCTGAAGAGATAGATGTGCGTGGGGGCGGCCGTCGCGGCCAAGTCACCCCCAGCTACTGATTCTGCATGCGCACCACGTCCACACACAGAACATGTGCAAACACATACACGCTGCGCACGCGCGCGTCCCAACTCGCCCGCCCACCCTGCCCCAACCCGCCATCCACCCCCGCTCACGCACGCACCTCGCGGCGCCCGATCCAGGCTGCCGCCGGGCGTGTTCAGACACGTGGTCCCCTTCGGGCTGAGCCTGCTGGTGGCAGCTGCCACCATGTGTTACCATCCTGTCCTCCTCATCCCCGTGCTGCTGCTCCAGCTCGTCCTTCCCTCTCCTGCGTTTGTTCCTGCTCTGCCTCCCCCTGCTGCTGCTGCCGATCTCGGTGCTTTTGCTGCTACCCCTGCTCCCGCAACTTGCACCCCGCCGCCCTCTTCTCCGCCCCCTCGTAAGCCTCCACTCCTTATCCTCCACCGCGCCATTCTCCGCCCCCGCCATCGCCTCTTCCTGTTCCACTGCAGACACGACGGCGATGACGATAACGCTATCGAGGTACGGCTGGACAGTTCGGTTTTGCCGCATTGATTCGTGTCGGCCCGTTCTCTGGCGCCATCGCCACCTCCTCCTTTTCCTTCTCCCTCGTACCTCACCCGCATCCCATTCCTTCGTTGCACTGCTTCTCCGCCTCCACCTCCTCCACCTCCCCTCTCCTGCGATCAGATGGTGTGCTCCCGAAACCTCTTCGTGGAGCTTGGAACACGAGCAATGGTAGCATGTGCACCAGGGCTCCAAAGTCTTGTTTGATGGGTTGCCAGACGGCATCGGTTGTACGCAGCATTAGTTTGTGGCCCATTCCTGAGGCGTGCTGCTGACCCTCAGCGGCCCATCGCTGTTGATGATTTTAGTTTGGTTGGGCCTGGGGGGGAGCGGGGGGGCGCTGCATCGGAGCTCGCAATCGCTCGGCTATGTTGTTCGCTCTACGTCTCGCGCCAGAAAGGGGGAGATCGGCATTCCCCCATATCACGTTCACGTAGCTGCCCCCTGCAGCGGTTCGCTTTCGTGCGCCTGCAATCCATCGAATGCGTGAGGTGCAGGTCTTGATTGAGCTCCTCATGGGACGTTCACTCCTCCTCCTCCTCCTCCTCCTCCTCCTCCTCCTCCTCCTCCTCCTCCTCTTCCTCCCCCTCCCCCTCCCCCTCCCCCACCTCCTCCTCCTTCTCCCTTCTGCGGCTCGAGACGCCAAGGCCGAGGAGCGATCCGTTGAAAGCCGGCCGAGGCGGCACGAGGGGTGTCTAGAGGGCCTTCGGGAAAGGATTGCGAACCGTGAAGGCCGACTCAGCAACGCGCTTCGCCGCTTTCGCGCATCCGATGGGTGTCCTGGAAGCTCGCTGGATGCCTCTTGGGGCCAATTTCTAATCTGCTAGGCGCACGTCAGACATGTTCGAGTCGTCTTGGAGCGTGTGGGTATAGTTCGGGGGGTTCTTGGATGCCGTCTGGGCCCGTCGTGCGCCACCTTGTGGTGCCGATTTTGGGCCATAATGGTGGCCGTCTTGGGGATCGTCTGAGTGCGGTATGGAACGTGGGGCTTAGCACTGGAGTGTTTGAGACGTTTTTTGACGGCCTGCACCCCGGGCCCCGCCCTCTCCGGCCGCCTGAGGCCCCGCCCGCCTGTGCCCTGTCTCCCCAATTAGAGCTGTGCGTAGCCCGCCTAGCTTTTAGCGGAAGAGGTTCGCCCTCGCCCCGCCGACCAAACAAGTGTTTGAGACGTTTTTGTTTCAAAATGTGCAGCCGTGACATTGAGAGCTCAGCAAACGGCTAAGCTTAGCGTCCACATGTTTGGTCTCATCTTGCCAGCTCCGCTTCCACATACTGCTACACAACACAGGCTTGGCGGTCGCGGCAGCGATGAAGGCCCTCGGGGCCCTTGCGCACCTCACCCAGGGCAGCACGTATTTCGGGCCGGGACAGCACGGCAGGGCCCTCGAGCTTCTCAGCCCCGCCCTCGCCATCCGCCGCGAGTATCGGCGACCGGCAGGGGGAGTGGGCTGCCTTCGGCAGCTTCGGCAAAGCGTGCGGCAGGCTGGGGCAGTACGACAGTGCCTTCGAGCACCTCGCCGCCGCCCTCGCCATCAGCCGCGAGTATCGGCCACCGGCAGTGGGAGGGGGCTGCCCTCGGCAACCTGGGTGACACGTACGGCAGGCTGGGGCAGCACGACACTGCCCTCGAGAGCGCCTCACCGCCGCCCTCTGCATCAGCCGCGAGATCGGTGACAGGCAGGGGGAGGCGGCCCTCGAGCGTCTCACCGCCGCCCTCTCCATCAGCCGCGAGACCGGTGACAGGCAGGGGGAGGGGGCTAACCTCGGCAACCTGGGTGTCGTGTTCTGCAGGCTGTGGCAGTCTGACAAGGCTACCGTGCACCTCGCCGCCGCATTCGCCAGCAGCCGCGAGTATCGGCGACCAGCAGGGGGAGAGGACTCACTCTGGCAAGCTGGGTGACGCGTGCGGCAGGCTGGGGCAATGCGACAACGCCCTCGAGCACCTCGCCGCCGCCCTCGCCATCAGCAGCGAGATCGGCGACTGGCAGGGGGGAGGGGGCTGCCCTCGGCAACCTAGGTGACGCGTACGGCAGGCTGGGGCAGCACGACACGGCCCTCCAGCACCTCGCCGCCGCCCTCTCCATCAGCCGCGAGCATCGGCCACTGGCAGTGGGAGGGGGCTCACCTATGCAACCTAGGCGTCGTGTTCTGCAGGCTGTGGCAGTCTGACAAGGCCTCGAGCGCCTCACCGCCGCCCTCGCCATCAGCAGCGAGATCGTCGACCGGCAGGGGGGAGGGGACTCACCTCGGCAAGCTGGGCGACGCGTGCGGCAGGCTGGGGCAGCACGACAGGGCCCAGGAGCGCCTCGCTCCCGCCCTCGCCATCAGCCGCGAGATCGGTGACAGGCACGGGGAAGGGGACTCACTTCGGCAACCTAGGCGTCGTGTTCGGCCGGCTGTGGCAGTCCGACAAGGCCCTCGAGCACCTCGCCGCTGCCCTCGCCATCAGCCGCGAGATCGGCGACCCGCAGAGGGTCGGGGGCTGCCCTCGGCAACCTAGGCGACTTGTTCCGCCGGCTGCAAGCCGACAAGGCCCTCGAGCACCTCGCCGCTGCCTTCACCATCAGCCGCGAGATCGGCGACTGGCAGGGGGGATGGCCTCATCTCGGACCTGGGCGACGCGCGTGGCAGGCTGGAGCAGCACGACAATGCCCTCGAGCACCTCGCCGCCGCCCTCGCCATCAGCTGCGATCATCGGCCACTGGCAGTGGGAGGGGGCTGCCCTTGGCAACCTAGGTGGCACGTCCGGCAGGCTGGGGCAGCACAGCGCGGCCCTCGAGGGCCTCACCGCCGCCCTCTGCATCAGCCGCGAGATCGGTGACAGGCAGGGGGAGGGGGCTCACCTCGGCAACCTAGGCGTCGTGTTCTGCAGGCTGTGGCAGTCCGACACGGCCCTCGAGCACCTCGCCGCCGCCCTCGCCATCAGCCGCGAAATCGGTGACCGGCAGAGGGTTGGGCCCTGCCCTCGGCAGCCTGGGCGACGCGCGCGGCAGGCTGGGGCAGTCCGACAAGGCCCTCGAGCACCTCGCCGCCGCCCTCGCCATCAGCCGCGAGATCGGCCACTGACAGGGGGAGGGGACTCACCTTGGCAAGCTGGGCGACGCGCGCGGCAGGCTGGGGCAGTGCGACAAGGCCCAGGAGCACCTCGCCGCCGCCCTCGCCGTCAGTCGCGAGTATCGGCCACTGGCAGTGGGAGGGGGCAACCTGGGTGACACGCGCGGCAGGCTGGGGCAGCACGACGCGGCCCTCGAGCACCTCGCCGCCGCCCTTTCCATCAGCCGCGAGATCGGTGACAGGCAGGGGGAGGGGGCTAACCTCAGCAACCTGGGTGTCGTGTTCTGCAGGCTGTGGCAGTCTGACAAGGCTACCAGCAGGGGGAGAGGACTCACTCCGGCAAGCTGGGCGACGCGCACGGCAGGCTGGGGCAGCACGACACGGCCCTCGAGCGCCTCACCGCCCCCCCCATCAGCCGCGAGATCGGTGACAGGCAGAGGGAGGTGGGCTGCGTGTTCGGCCGGCTGGGGCAGTCTGACAAGGCCCTTGAGCACCTCGCCGCCGCCCTCGTCATCAGCCGCGAGATTGGTGACAGGCAGTGAGAGGGGGGCTGCCCTCGGCAGCCTAGGCGTCGCGTTCCGCAGGCTGGGGCAGTGCGACAAGGCCCTCCGAGCACCTCGCCGCCGCCTGCGCCATCAGCCGCGAGATCGGCGACCGGCAGGGGGAGGGGAGTCACCTCGGACCTGGGCGACGCGTGCGGCAGGCTGGGGCAGTCCGACAAGGCCCTCGATCACCTCACTGCCGCCCTCGCCGTCTTTGACGCAGTCTGGGGAGCCCTGGGCGACGATGGGCAGCGCGTGAGTCACGGTGACGGGGACGTGCAGTGGCTTGCACGAAAGCTGCAGGCAGTACTCGTCCGCGCTGGGAGATCCTCTGCGCGCGGAGCGCGCTCGCTGGCGCGCGTTCGCTCGCGCGCGCTCGAGCTGCTTCTGACGCAGCGGCGCCAGCAGCACTATGGCGGCGAAGCCCGGGGCCAGCCGCGCGCGTCGCCGCGCCCGCGCGAGGGCGCGTTCAACCTGCCGGCTCTGCGCTTGGCTGCGGCGCGCCAGCGCGCAGCCCTTGTGTTCTTTTCGCAGGTGGATGCCTCGCCGGTTTACGCGTGGGTCCTCAGCAGCCGCCTGGCGGCCTTTTTCGTGCTCGAGGAGCTGGCTGCTCCCGAGGGCCAGACCTCGCTCGCCCTCTCCGTGGAGTCGGCGCGGCGCGCGCTCCAGGCGCCCACTCGCGGCTCGGGCGGGGCGTGGGCGGGAGCGGCGACGTCCGCTGCCGCGGGGCCGTGGCGACGAGCAGCCTGGGGGGGAGGTAGTGGACCTGGGAGGAGCTTCGCCGCTGCCGCGACCTTCTGGTTCGACAGGCTGCCGCCGCGTCCGCCGAGCACCTGTGACACTGTGGCACCGCCTGATAGGCGGAGGGAGGAGTGGGCCAGGATGGGGCGAGGGAGGAAACGGCACGAGGGGGGGGGAGGGGGGGGCAGGGCGGAGAGGGGCAGGGCGGACGGAGGGACGCGGGAGCAGAAAGGATATGGGAGTACAAGGGGAGGGAGGCGGGAGGGGGAAGGGCGAGTGAGGGAGGAGGGTGAACGAAGAATGGCGAGGGGCGAAAAACGAGAGGAGAGGAGGGCTCGTGGAGGGAGGGGGGAAAGTGAGGGAGGAGGGTCCAGGGAGGAGGGGACGGGGAGGATGCAGAAGAGGACAGGGAGATGGAGGAGATGGAGGAGGACCATGCTGACGTCGGCGGGGTGGCAAGGGTGAGGAGGATAAGCTGGGTGGGAGATGCGCTAATACATACATATGATATTCACACATTCATATATATATATATATATATATATGTATATATATACACAAGTACACGTACGTATGTATATACATATACACAGGCAGACAGACAGACATAAACAAGAGACAAACAGACAGACAGACAGACGGATGGACGGACGGACGGACAGACAGATCGGAGGGGTGAGACCGAAGCAGAGAGCGGGCCGCAGAGAGGAACATATCCATTCCCCTCACTGGACCCCCACCAGTCCGTCCTCGGCAGGTGCTAGGGAAGGGGCCCCGAGCAGGGCTCAGCAAAGCGAAGGGTTCGTCCCCAGGCCTACCGCCAGCCCGCGCGCCACAAGGGGAAAGGCCTCGGCGGCAGTCCTTCATCCCGCTCGTATGTTGTGACGTTTTGGCGTTTTTGTTGGGGGGCGCTGTCCTCCGCACCGCAGGGGCTTTATTGGGGCCCTCGCCATCTTGAGAGGCTCCTGGTGTATCTCCGAAGGCCAGGGCGTCTTGGGAACACTGGGAGATTTCTCGGGCCCAACTTGAGCCCTCTTGTGGTTTCTTCGGGCCGTCTTGGCTATCTCTCGGGCGTCTTGCGGGCCTCTTCGGGCCGTCTTCGGGGTGCCGTCTCAAGCCGTCTGGGGCCTTTCCAGAGCTCCTCGTTGACCGCTTTGGCGCGTTTGGGCGTCGTCTTGGGGCCATCTGCTCCTCCGAGGCCAGGCTGGAACCACCGTGAGCCAAAGATGCGTGACAGCTAAAGAAGTATAACACAACCGCATCTAGGTTCTCACACATTCTGGTCGCCTGGTGTGTGGGTGTCCTATTGGGGCCATCTTGGGGCATCTTGGTATTCTGAGAGACTTTTGTGGCGTCCCCGTGACACATCTTACGTTCTCCTGCAGGAGTCTCGAAAGCCTTCCCAGACACCTTCGGACGTCCTGGGGCCATCTTTGTGCTCCGGTGTGTCGTATGAAGTCGGTGGTGGACAGAACCCCCACCCTGACACGTCGATTAGTGAATTGTCCGTTTTCGGTTCTCGAGAGGGCGCCGCGGCCGTCGTTTTCCAGGCTTGCGCCCGCCAGGTTTGGGCCCGAGGTCGTTTCCATTAAACCGCGTTTTGCTGAAGGGGCTTCTGTCCATCCACTATGAAAGGCCCTCTTCGGCTGACCTGGGACCTCAGCACACGAAATCCCCGCTGGTGGGCGGCCCGCCCCCCATCCTCCTCAAGTTTGCAGTTTGGAGCCTAATGCGGGGGGCCTGTCGGGGGGAAGAGCCTGGCGACTCCACCGTGGTCGACGGATCAAACCCTTGGGCCACGCGATTGCGAGCGAACGCCGGCTCGTGGTCATACCTGAGGGGCCCCCTCAGGTACGATCACGAGCCCCTATCAGATTGGGGCTTGTTCGCCCCCATCCGATGGGGGCTCATCAGCTGGGGGCTTGTTCGCCCTGCCTTTCGCCGCGTTGCTCGACGCTGATGGCAGGTGCCCGACCGAGAAGTATCCCCTGCAAGTCGCGACACCCGCGGGCACCCTGCTCGAGCTTGACCAGCGGGCCGCCGCCAGCAAGGCCGTTGCCAGCACTGTTTCGCCCCCTCGCGCGCCCGTCGTCGGCGATCCCAATTTCAAAGGAGAGGTCCAGCAACTCCCCGGCGTACGGAGGGAGGCAAAGGAAGGATGTCAATTGCTAAGATCTGCGCGCTTCCTTGACCGAGTGACGTCGCAGATGGGGCGGCAGGCAATAAAGCTAGAGGTGGTCGACGCAATCTGCTGCAGCGAGCTAATACATCCGGCCACACATGGTGAGCAGGACTGCGTGTTTCTCTTGGGTGCCACACTCGCGGATGGGAAGCTGACGATGGCCGATGTGCACCAGCTTCATTTGCAAAAGCCGGAGCTGGTTGTACTGAGCGAGTGTGACTCCTTCAGGGGCGAACTCCACGCCGACGGCGTAGTCGGTATCACGCGTGCATTTGCTGTAGCTGGCGTGCCGGCCTTGCTGTCGACACTGTGGAAGGTCAGTGACGCTGCAACCTCTGGACCTTTGCACTTATGCAGCGCTTCAATAAGATGTGGTTGAATGATGCGTCGGGCGACGCATCCTCGGCCCTGCAAGGCGCCGTATTGTCGACGATCCACGATCAATGCACAGACTACTCGGTGGACCAGTGGGCACCATTCGTGGTGTACAGCATCAGCTCAAGCAAGATCGCGGACGCTGGCGCGACTGCCGCGCCGCCGTCCTCGTGCGCGAGCACGAGAGTCAGCTTGCTGACAATTTGGCTGAGCTGCTGGATTACTGTGGCCTCGCCACGATGTCCAGCGAAGCTCTCGCGGCCTGCCAACACCTGGGCGCGGGCAGCATCGACGACGTCATCAAGATCGCAGCGCAGTTCGCGGACACGCTCCAGCTGAAGCCCATCAAGCGCACGCTATCCGGTTTCCTGCGGCAGGCCCCGCCGACGTGCCAGCGCAGCATCGAGACGCAGTTGCGCAGGATGCTTCTGCAGAGTCCTCGAGGAAACGCCCCAGTGGAGCCATTCTCGCGAGGTCTGAGGCAGCGCTGCGCTGCTGTCGCAGCGTGGCTGTCTCGTTGCATGGCTGGTGCGATGCTTCCTCCTCGCGTTCTGGTGGCCTCTTGGGGGCCTCTTGTGGCACCTGGGGAGATTTCGGGGCGCCCGCGGCGAGCCGCCGCTCGCGGGGGCCCGCCGGCCGCGCCGGGAGGCCCGCTGGCCGCCTCCTCGCGGGCGTCGAGGGGGGCGGCGGCGGCCGCCGCAGCTCTCGCGGCGAGGCCTGCGGCGCGGGCGCCAGCGGAGCGCCGCGCACCGCTGATGCGCGCGCATCGAGCTGCAGCTCGGCGGCGGGGACGGGCGAGTGGACCATCCGCCGAGCGCGTCCCGCCACTCGCAAAGTACCTGCTCGCAAACTTCCCTCAAAACACATGTCTGCTTCGGTGTATTCTATCGCAGACCCTCTGTGGCGGATCCATGCCACTTGCGAGCAGCCCGTTTGCGGGCAGTGGGACGCGCTCGTCTGACCATTGGCAGTCGAAGCCGGCGTGGAGGGTGGGCCCTCAGCGCAGGGTCGCAGGCCTAGAGATTGACACCAACACCAATATCGGCGGTGTGCATCCACCGAGGGAAGAAGATCCCGATCTCGGTGATGGTGGTAATATTCTGGCTTCCAAGGTGGCCGAACTATTACCACCAACACTGAAATCTAGGATCGTCTTCCCCCTGTGGAGGCAAACCCCTTTGTTGATGTTGGTGCCAATTTCCAGGCCTCCAACAGGGGCGCCTCGCGTCCTTCGGCTGCCGCCATCCTCGGCACGCTTCGGGCGCCCGCGCCCCCGGCGCCTGCGTCCTGGGCTCTCCCGCGTCCCTGCTGGCTCCTCGGCGCGTCCCTGCTGGCCTCCTCCTGCGCTGAGCCCCTCCCGCTCCGGATCGCCGGAGGGGCTCAGCGCAGGAGGAGGACGCAGGCGAGCACACACTGACAAGGGAGGACGGTGGAGGGAGTTTGTGGTGGAACCCACGTCCTCCGGACCCCCGGTCGCCTCCGTGGAGCAAGTTCTGGGGGGCCGCGCCGGGATCTGGAGCCGAGCGCTTCCGCAGGGACCAGGGGGGGGGGGGACGGGGAGGAGGAGCGAGAAGGAAGGGGCAGGGGCGCAGGGAGGGCGCGGGGCGGGCAGAGCTGCGGGATGGGTAAGCGAGGAGGCAGACCAGAGCAGCCCCAGGATGGGCCAAAGACGTTGCAGCACCGCCCCTCGTCCCAACTCCCGTGCCCGCGGCTCCCTGCAAGTGGACTCCCCCCTCGCGACGGGAAGCGCCCCCCTTCGAGAGGCGAGCGTCCTGTGGGCCTGGCGCGCAGGCGGGCGCCTCGCTTTGAGAAGGACCCATCAGCAGTCCTTTCAGGGTGTGCATGCGGCCTTTCAGGGCGTGCATGCGGGGAGGAGGAGGAGGAGATGGAGGAGGAGGAGGAGGAGGAGGAGGAGGAGGAGGAGGAGGAGGAGGAGGAGGAGGAGGTTAAGGAGGGTAAGGAGGAGGAGGAGGAGGAGGAGGAGGAGGAGGGGGAGGAGGAGTAGGGGATGCAGGAGGAGCAGGAAGAGGAGGAGGAGGAGGAGCAGGAGGAGGAGCAGCGGTGGTTTGCTGCCTCCTCTGCTTTTTGGGGTGGGCCCTGTGGCATCTGACTGTTCTGCCGCGCGAGCGGTGGGCACTGGTTAAGAAGGGAGTGCGCGCGCGCAGATCGGCGGGCGCCGCCGCCGTTGTCGTCGTCGTCGTCGTCGTCGTCGTCGTCGTCGTCGTCGTCGTCGTCGTCGCATTCGTCGTCGTCGTCGCCGTGGTCGTCGTCGTGGTCGTCGTCTTCGTCGTCGTCATCGTCGCCGTCGTCGTCGCCGTCGTCGTCGTCGTCGTCGTTGTCGTCGTCGCCGTCGTCGTCGTCGCCGTCGTCGTCGGCGCCCCGTCGCGGCCCTGGCGGACTCCTCGTCCCCGCCATGGTGGCGCATGTTCCTCTGGGTGGGCGCCACCCAGCCCTCTCAGACTTGCGAGTCTCTTCCCCTCGGGATTGTGTCCTGACGCAATGTTCTTTTCTTGTGCCTCCGGACCATCTCAGGTGGGGATGCTGCTCTCGACGATGGGCTTCATCTTCATGTACGCCGCCTCCGCCCTCGTGAACGCCATCGCCTCTGGCCCGCGCCCCGCGCCCTCCGCGGAGGCCGCGGAGGGGGGGAGAAGGAAGGGGGAGGAGGAGGAGGAGCACGAGGGAAGGAGGAGGAGGAGGAGAAGGAGGAGGAGGAGGAGGAGGATGAGGAGGAGGAGGAAGAGGACCAGCTTACACCCAAGACTCATCAACGATGTTGCAATAAACATCCCTCCGAGTTCCCTCTTCACCGGTCCCTGCAAGGAGTCAATTTCACTGAGGGAAGTGCCCCGTTGGACGGCAACTGTTTGAAATCACCGATTCGGGCCAGAACGCCATTTCAAGGATTTCAGTATTACTGTTGTGTCCTGACGATCCTGAATCGTACCAAAACGCCTTACCTGGGACGTCAGCAATCAGAATGCTTGAAGCTATTGTAAGCTCTGAATGCGAGTGTGCGCGGCGGTAAGGCGAAAGCCACATTTTGAGAAGCAATACCCTTCCATCCGTGAAGCCCATCCTGTAAACTTTGAAGACGACTGTGCGCGGAGCTTCGGCGAGAGCCACATTTTTTAACCTTCCCGCCCTCAACATCTGAATATGTTGCAAATTCTAAGCTTAAGGATCATACTTGGTGAGGAGATCTCGGGCGAAATGTCTGGCCCGCCCTACTGACGCGTCTCGGGGTGCGACAGGCAGGAGTGATTTATGAGGAAAAGGAATGGACGAGGAGGGAGGGAGCAACAGCAATGCAGGCACAAGGAGGACGAGGCGGGGGAGGCGGGGGAGGAGGAGGAGGAGGAGGAGGAGGAGGAGGAGGAGGAGGAGCAGGAGGAAGAAGAGGAGGAGAAGAAGGAGGAGGAGCAGGAGGAGGAGGAGGAGGAGGGGGAGGAGGAGGAGGAACAGGAGGAAGACAACATGAAGAAGGGACATACTAATCACGAAGGGGAAGGGGAGGACGTGAAGAGGAGAAAGACGCTGAAGGGGGCAGGGGGATGGGGGAGGAGGAGGAGGAGGAGGAGGAGGAGGAGGAGAGGAACGAGTAGGAGTGTGAGAAAGGGGAAGAGGGAGGGCGGAAAGAGGAGGTGGAAGCGCAGGAGAGGGGAAAGGAGGTTGGAGGAGGGAGGATGATGATGATGATGATGATGATGATGATGATGATGATGATGATGATGATGATGATGATGATGATGATGATGATAATGATGGCGATGCTGCTGCTGCTGCTGATGATGATTATGATGGCGATGATGAGGAGGATGCTGATGGCGATCAGTATTCTGATTATGATGCTGATGAAGATGATTATGCTCTTGATGATTATGATGCGCTGGCGGCGATGATGATACCACTGATGAAGATGACGAGTATGAATATGGAGGTGAAAATGATGATACTGATAATGGTGATGCTGATGATGTTAATGATGCTGACGATGACGATGGTGCTGGTAATGATGATGATGCTGATGATGATGACGATGCTTAATATTATTATTGTGATTATTAGTAACCGTGTTATTATAATGATGCTGCTGCTGACGATCATGATGAGGATGATGCTGATGACAGTGATGATGATGATGATGATGATGATGAGGATGGCGATGCTGACGATGGTGACGATCATGATGAGGATGATGCTGATGACAGTGATGATGATGGAATCCTGAAGCTGATGATACTGATCATGCTGCCTATGACGATTATGTTGCTGCTGGCGGTGATGATTGTGAGTATAATGACGCTGTCGACGACGATGATGATGGTGATGATGCTGATGATGCTGATGATGATGATGATGATGATGAAGATAACGATGCAGACGGTGATGATGCTGATGACGATGCTGCTGATGTTGAGCATGATGGTGCTGCTTATGATAAGGATGCTGATGAGGATGCTGATTATGTTGATCATGTCGATGATGATACTGCTGATGGTTATGATGCTGATGCTGCTGATGATGTTGATGCTGATGCTGATGCTGCTGTTGAAACTGATAATGCTGCTGATGATGCTGATGATGCTGATGCTGATGCTGATGCTGCTGCTGATGAGGTTGATGATGACGACGATGATGCTGATGCTGCTAATGCTGATGATGTTGATGATGCTGCTGATACGGGATGCTGATGGTGATGCTGCTGATGATGATGATGATGATGATGCTGGAGGTACTGGCAATGATAAGGATGCTGCTGATGATGATGATGATGAGGATGATGCTGATGATGATGATGATGATGATGATGCTGATGATGATGATGATGATGATGATGATGATGATGATGACGATGACGATGATGTTGGTGGGATGGATGACAACGATGATGTTGGTGATGATGCTGGTGGTATGATGATGATGATGCTAATCAAGATGATGCTGCTGATGATGACGACGATGCTGATGGTGCTGCTGATGATGATGATGATGATGATGATGATGATGATGATGATGCTGATGCTGATGCTGATGCTGATGCTGATGCTGATGCTGATGCTGATGCTGATGCTGATGCTGATGCTGCTGATGAGGAGGAGGTGGAGGAAGAGGAGGTGGGGGAGGAGGAGGAGGATGAGAAGGAGAGGAGGAGGAGGAGGAGGAGGAGGAGGAGGAGGAGGAGCAGCAGGATGAGGAGGAGGTGGAGGAGGAGGACGAGAAGGGGGACGAGCGGGATGAGTGTAACGAGGAGGCCACATATCGTAATCGTGCTTACGCTGGTGGCGGTGGCGATGCCGATCCCCGCTCTCCCGCATCCTCCTCTTCCCCATCCCCTCCCCATTGACTCTCACCTCCTCTTCCTCCTCCTCGTCCTCCTCCCTCCCTTCCTCCCTCCCTCCCTCCCGCCCTCCCTCCCTCCCTCTCTCTCTCTCCCTCCCTCCCTCCTCCTCCCTACCCCCATTTCCCCCCCCCCCTCTTCCTCCTCCTTCTCCTCCTCCTCCTCCTCCTCCTCCTCCTCTTCTCCTCGTTCGCTCGACAGCTGAGAGGTGCTACCACATTCTGCATGCATAAAGGGAGGGCCCACGCTTGGGGAGAGGCGACGGGCAGCGCCGAAACAGGGCGCAAGGCCGTCATGGCCCATCAGGGGGGGAGCCCATGCTCCTCTATCGTACGGGAGCGGGCCCGCTCGCGGGCCTGAAACCCCACGTCACTGGCTTCCGCCCGGGAAAGGCCGAACAGGGCCAAACCTCTTTGGAGGTCCATCCTTGGGGCCTTACCCCTCGTACGAAACACCGAATCCGAAGCATTCGCGGGCGTCACCCTGGCCTCACTCCGACCGAGGTCCTCGCAAGCCTCCAAGAACGGCCTCCATTGGGCCTCCCCTGCTTCGCACAGGCCGCCAGCGTGCATCACCTTGCAGGGCGAGCTCGGGAGCGGGTGGAGACCCTTGGAGATCCTCACGGGGTTCTTTACGCCCGTCTCTGTGGGAGGCTTACAGTGCACCCAGAGTTTGCAACGAGACTTGGGGTGGACCCTCAAGTCCCACGATACATTGCTCCCACAAGTGTTACAATAAATCATGGCATCCACTCGCATGTCATCCTCCATGACGGCAGCACGGCGGATAGCGTGCCCATACCACACCCATGGCAGCGGCACGAAGTCGTCAGGCTCTTCACCAGGAGCCTGCACCTCCTGCTGGCGATCCGCATCGACACAGCACGAGGGAATGGGTAGCCCTGGGACCCGCTCAAGCACCACTTTGCTCATCCACTCGAAGCCAACATGGTCCCGACATGACACCTCCGACAAACACGCCTGCTGGAGACCCCCGAGCCTAGCGACGCGCTTCGCCAGCTCGTGACAACCCTCAAGAGGAAGAAGGTCTTCCCCAGGTGCTCGAAACCGTTGTGCGCCTTCTTTGGCAAGACGGTCCGCCTCCTGATTACCTCGCCAGTCTCGATGAGAAAATTGTCCATCGCGCACCGCAGAGTAAGGCATGTGGGACTTCACCTCGGCAAACTGGACCCAATGAAGTCGATCCCCGACTTCCGCCCACCAATGGGCTCCCAGTTCCGACGCCCACGAAGCCGAAGAGGACCTTCGTCGCGCAGCAAACCCCAATGTCCCAGAACAGTCGTTGTGAACCGTCGTCCTTGAGGCCGCGACAGTATTCCTCGATAGCATCAATACTGCGAAGCCCTCACTAGCTCCAGCAATATGATCAGGTCCTTCTGTCGGCGGGGCCACGCCGAATCATGCTGAAACGATCTCCTCTTTGCAGTCCGACGCAACCGCTGACCACCCGGCAACTCGAAGGGGCGGCCACGGTATCTCAACACCCGGACCGTCCGCGTGCACGTGCCAGCCCGCTGGGATAGCGAAGCCCTCCCTGGGCTAATTGATCCTCGTCGTGTAGGGGTCCTCCGATCGGGTTCCTGTACAAGGCGTTCCTTTGCATGCACTTCTCCTTCGGCACCGCCTGATTCCGGGGCTTTGCCCTCTCCTGGCCTCTTGACGTGAGGCCCGTCCTTCTGCCTCCCTCCCTCTGTCAATTAAAGCTGTGCGCGGCCCGCTTAGCTTCGACCAGAAGAGGCTCGCTCTCGACCCGCGGATCAAACAAATCGTGCAGGGGTCCTCCGCAATCTTCGCGGGTCTACGAACGAAGCGACCTGGATCAGGAAACAAACCTCTGCTGAACAGCCCCTGGTCCTCCACAGACAGCCTCGAGACGCGGCTGGCCGCCCTGAAGACCACCTCGTCCAAGTACTCCCGTCCCCAGTCCTCGTGAGCTGGACGCTCGAATCTCCGATGGAGTCGCTCCTGACTCCAATGCACATTCGCAATCATAGCCTTAACACGGCTCTTCTGATGATCGCGCCACCCTGGGCTGTTCGTCTGGCATGATAACTCATGCAGCTGGGCCCGCAGCATCGGCCCGTTCCAAAACTTAAACACACTCTGCCGAACCTGTTCATCATGCTCAACCGCTCGGCGCCCACCCGCTTGAATCATATGGCTGAAGACAGCTGGCGAGAATTTCGAGACCGACCAAGGCCTGCCAATATCTTTGTTGATAGCTTCACTCGGTAGGTCCAGGTTCCATCCCAACCTCCACATGGCTGCGACGG